ATATAAGTTTTTAAGTAATAGAGGATAATAAGTATAACTAGCTTTAAAGCTTTTTCTTTATTTAAAGGATAAAGTAATAACCTAGGTATAATTATAGTAAGAAGTAAAAAATTAAGTATTTTAAGATTCTAAATATTTACTATATATATTTCTATATTATAGGTATATTAGATAATATATTAGCTACTTACCTTGCCTAAATAAACTAGCTAAGAGCTTTAGAATTTTTATATATATTATTATTTAAGCTAGCAATTTCTATATCTAGACTAACTACTAATAATAGTAAATTAAATATATACTTAGGAAGTTAATATACTAACTCGCTTCTTAAAATAAGGACAGGTTTAAACGTTTTCGGTTTAGTATAAGTAGGTAAGGGCTAAGTAAATATTATTAAATATACTCCTTTATAGTATTAATTGACTGGGGTGCTGTTATAGGCTGCTCCCACTTTCTTCTCTTCTTCTTTAAGCTCTGTAGTGTTCTGCTTGCTTTCAGTACAGTAATATAATCTAAGTAGCGCTTGCTACATAAATCCAGATTTTAGCGTTAGAATGGCATAATCTGTTAGCAGGTATATTAGCCTATAGTTATCTAGTCTTATAATAACATGATCTGAGTGGCGCCTGCTATATAAATCTAGATTTTAGCGTTAGAATGGCATAATCTGTTAGCAAATACATCAGCTCATAATTATCTCAGGGTCTAGACCTCGAGGATCCAACTCCTAGCTGATGAGTTATATATTAAGTAAAGCTGCAATCATCAATTTCAAACTCTGACACAGGTTACTGGAATGTATATTACTTTCCTTATTTTTAATATAAAATATTTTAGTTATAAATATCTTATCGTCTCATATCCTCTCCAGTAAGATTTCAACAAACACAAACCTACTCTTTAATAAACATTATCACTACTACTTTCAATAATAAAGACTACCTATCTCGCAATGATTTTCTCCCTTGAGGTTGCCACGCTCAATGCCCTCTCCCTCCCATCTTTCCTTACTAAAAGGTGGGACCCTTGGACGCCCGATACCGGGGACAATTGGCAACCCGTCCTCGATGGCCCATTCAAGTTTCCTAAAGGCGGGGTCAATAGCTTGAATCCTGATATTACCGTTTACGGTTTAGATCTATGGAGTAACAACAAGTTTACGATCAAGAGACTCCAGCGAGCTGGCAAGCGTGTCATCTGTTCTTTCAGTGGTGGCACTGTAAAACCCAGTGATCCCGATCGGAAAAGTTTCTTCAAGAGGGATATTGGCACTCGAATGGATTGGTCGAACGGTGAGAGATGGATCAATGTGAACAGTCAAAGGGTTCGAAAAACAATCGCCAAGCGTGTCAAGCTGGCGTCCGACAAGGGCTGCAATGCCATCAGTCCCCGTAATACGAATGCCTATGTAGGTTGGCCCTGGACTTATGAGAATTATCTAATATTTTCTAGGATGAGGACACTGGCTTCAGCCTATCCGAAGACGACGAAATTAATTACATCGGGTTTCTGGCCGACGAAGCAGCCAAATACCAGATGTCAATTGGTGTTGACATCGGGGCCATCGCGGTCGATCTACAAGATATTGCGTCTTTCTTTATCGGCGGGACTTGCGACGATAGCAGTGGCGGCAGCGATGATAGCGATGACAGCGATAACAACGATGGCAGTGATGACAGCGATGGCAATAGTTGGGACTCGGAAGATCTTAATAGTTGCGACTTCTGGCAGGGGCTCATGGATTCTGGAATCCCTGTATTCAGCACTGACGGGGGAGATTTTAAGAAATCCAAGATTTAGTGGTTACGGCACTAAAAAGGTGGCAGAGACATGGGATTCAGAGTTTCTAACTTGACTAGGAGGTTATATGGCTGTTGGCGTTCCTCATTAAAGCCCAGATTGAATCATATAGGACTTTGGTTTTATTTTTTTAGCTAATTTATTTCTTAAATCATTTTCTTTAATATTAATCTTTTATTGCGGGTCAACGAATTAACGCTTATCATTCTATTGGCCCTCTAGCTGTAGTGACTCGTAAGGGGTAGGGATCGCCTTGGGTGGCAGTGCATAGCGACGCTCGCCGGTGATGTATTACGAGCAAAGTTTCCCCTAGCCGTCGATGGTTGTTGAGGCCGATTCCTCTCTAATATTTACAAAGCGTTTTAATGCTATCCGTTCTTATCAGACCTGGGAAAAAGCATCATGGTCTGGAGATTCCATGTCAGCACACTAAACCCAGCAACTTTGAACTCAATGTTCCTGGGATTTAGTTGATCGACAAGGGCCATATTAATTAGTGGGAAAACATTTAATGCCTAAGTAGTTCAACGTGAAGTCTTTTCTCTTAGCCAGCATCGCTCTATTGCAGTGAATTCCGGATTCACCAGAAGTCCTAGATCACAAGTCCCACGACGCGAAGCCATTACTGGCGTCAAAAGTGGCACTTATCTAGGAATCCACTTAAAGCAGTATAATCAAGACTTTTGATGAGCCATTTCTTGTGTTGGGCCTTTCGTTGAAGACCTGCGATTCCGAAATCCTCGCCCCTACGGCAAGTCTTAGAAGGAAAGCGTGATGCGCATAAGTACTCTGCCGGTTATGTGGGTTACGGAGTGAGTTAATTGTATTATTAGTTTTGACAAGCTTTACTGACGGTCCTAGCCATCACAGCTTGGTTTCAATAGGAGTGAAGTACATGTAATAAGAAAAGCGATAGTATGCAGACTAAGATTAAACAAGATTGTTTATATCTTAAGTTTATCAGACCTCCAGGACACTCTGATAAGAAACTCCCTGTGGCCTTATGATTCATGGCAGAGGCTACCAAGGCAACGGCATAGGCCCCCGCTATAACCTCACCTTTATTGTCGAACAAATTGTTCAGATTGGCCATATCATTATCCCAGCCAGCATGATGAGGACCTCTCTTATACTGGCATTATCATGCGCCTGTGACTATAGCTCTTTTCTTCCCATTTAGCTTATTTCCTACCTGGCATTAAATCCAAGGTCAAATAATAACTTACCAAACTATATTAGGCAAGTCCTAAACCCCACCGAGACCCTATATGAGGTATTTAAGAAGCCGAGAACCTGCGCTGGAGATAAAATCTCTCCTCTATGCGGTTTATTAGAAGCTCATAAATATACGTCTCTTATCTGTTGTAAAAATGCCAACATCTCGCGAGGCCGTCGCTAACCGCTATGGTAAAATCGCTGATTACGAGAACACTCGATTAGCAACCCATCCAATGGAGCGCGAGCTCACGTTGCGCGCTATTCGTCACGCTCTCAATACCTCCGAGACTGCTGATACTGAGCGCAAACGTATCGCAGACGTAGGAGGTGGACCGGGAAAGATAGCCTTTGCCCTTGCTGACCAGGGCCATCATGTCGATCTCATCGATTTGAGTCCCGACCTGATCCATCTTGCAGAACTCGAGCAGGATCAGCGCAGTGCAAGCGTTGAGAACCCAGCGCTTCTTGCGAGTATCAGTGTAGGCGACGCTTTGGAGACGATTCCATTGGCTAACGACTCATATGACGCCGTTCTTCTGCTGGGGCCTCTGTATCACCTTCTGGAGGAGAGTGAGCGAAAGCAGGCGGTCGAGACCGCTCTCAGACTCGCAAAACCTCAAGGAGGTCTTGTCTTTTGCGCCTTCGTCAGTAAGGAAGCTCACCTTAGGGACTTGGCAATGCGCGACCCTGCGAGGCTTGTAAGACAGAAAGACTTTTATGCTGCCTATGTACGTGTTATCGATTATGTCAGCGATATCTGAGACCAGCACTAACAGTCGCCCTTTATGAATAGCTAGCGAGCGGCCGTTATGAAAGATTGAACGAGAACCTCGAGGCAGAAGTACAATCCTTCCATACGGACAGTGGCAGCATACGCGAATTCTTTCAACATCACTTCACTGATGTAGCTGAGTTTATCAGTCTGCGCGCTACAGAAGGGATTCTTGGTGGTGGACTTGATGCCAAGCTTATTGATGCTGATGGTGAAGTTATAGAGGCGTGGGCAGATTTACTGTTTATGGATTACTCTGAGAAAGAAGAATACCTAGGATGTGCAGATCATTTACTTGCTGTCCTGCGCAAGAAGTAGAGAAATGATAGATGTAAACATTGTACCACAGTATCTGACTAATTGCCACACATTTGAGGTAGTTATACCATAGAAATCCGTCCGTTAGCAAATGCAAGAGGTGAATTATTTGCCAATGCCGTTGTACACCAATAGGTTTGGAACCCCTTTGACATCCGTGATCTTATCCTTGATCGCCAGCTCCTTAAGTCGCGACCAAATTTGAGCCGGCGTTCGCGAACCTTCCAGCGCCAAAAGGTAGGCAACAACGCCTGCAACATGCGGAGAAGCCTCTGACGTGCCGCTTGCGATGTAGGTTGCCGAAGCAGACGTGGGCCAAGCCGATGTGATATCTTGACCTGGAGCAAAGATATCACACGCTGAACCCCAGTTGGACCACGCCCATCGCTGATAGTCTTTGTTGCTGGCTGCGACGGTGATAACGTTAGGTTGGTTCCCGGGACTGCTTTTTGAAGCATCTTCATTGGCATTACCGGCAGCTGCGACGACAGGAATTCCGGCGTCAATCGCTTTCTGCACCGCCTCGTTGAAGATAATCGAATTACCTCCTGACAAACTCATGTTGATCGCAGCCTTGCCAGCGCGGTTCTTTGACACTACATCGTTGACCGTCCAGCTAAGACCCGACAGAACACCGCTAGAAGAACCGCTGTCATCGCCCAAAACTTGTACATCTACAACAGTGGCCTTTTTGGCTACTCCGTATGTGGCACCGTTGACGACGGCAGCGACAAGCGTGCCGTGCTGCTTCTTGCTGGAAATGCCTGAGGTATCTGCACCGAAAACAGCGCGGCCTTGAAATTCCTCATGCTCAAGGAAGATGCCGCTGTCTAGAACATAGACGAAAGTTCCTGCACCGGCTGTCGAATCGTAAGTGTACGAGGCCTTTGAAGATGGGGGATTGGCGTTGGAAATTGCGGATAGACCCCAGGGAGGAGATTGCTGTGTGACTGGCGAAGCGATCGTGAAGGTCTGTTCAGGTTCAACATGCAAGACCTATTCCAAGTTAATTCAGCGCATTCATCTGAGATATTCGTTTGCTTACACTAGAGTTGGCCTTAATAATCTCAATTGTATCCTCATCAAAAGAGCCAGAGTATCCCTTGAAACCAGGAAAGCTGAAGGTTTTGTCAATCCCACCAGCTTCGACGCCGCGACGAGCAAGGGCTTGTCCGTGCACATCCGATACCCATCGAGCGTGCAGATCAAGGTCTACCTTGGCAGTTGGCTTGAGCGCGATGATGAACTTGTTGGCCTCAAGACCCTTGCTATCCTTGTCTGTAGGGAGAGCAAGGGCGATGGTCGCAAGGCCAAGTGAGACCACTGTCGTATACAACATTTTGGCGACTAGAGAAAGACGGTACAGCACTACGGATCTAATGGCGGTAGTTTATTCCTTTTTATAACACAATTGAACCACGGATCGGCGCCTGGATACATTCAGGAATACAGGTCGTCACTCCTAACTGCCATCATAGTCCATATGTCCGATCTAACCCTGGTAGATATCACTGTTGCAATCACTGCCAAGGACGGAGTTCAGCTTCTTACCTTCCATTTCGACACTAGCATCCCTGTACCTACGGCATTTGGCGCGGAGTCCTTTGGCCTACCCAGTCAATTCGTGCTTTGAATATGACTTTGTATCATTCCGAACACGCGCTTCCCATTAATCCATGTTTTATTATACGAGATAAGTCTAGAAAAAGTTTGCTTGAATCTGTATGCCTTTTTCAAGAAACTTGCAATTATCTCAAGGCATTTGGTGATTGTGGGGTAGAGAAGCATCTGACGCGTCGTACATGCGCAGGTCAATGATAGGTAATGTGAGGATAGAGTTAACTGCTGCCTATATGATCAAGCTGTAAATGCAGGTAACTAAGCCCTGAAACTAAAACATCGGCTCCGGCTACGTTTTTTTAAGGCTATATAGAACATGCTGCGGCCCTCTATCATCCTTATCCTGCGTGACTTCCTCTTAATTAACTATCAAGCGCATCTACCCTAGATCTTGGGGAGGAAGACAGAAGCGGGAAGCTAGACATTAAGAAGCTTAGGGGCCCACTGAGGGGTCAGGCCGGAACTAAGATATGCCGACCTCAGATAAGATAAGATAAAGCGAGACATGACATTTTTCCACCCCGCCCACGCCACGCAGGTCAGGCTCGTCGGCGGTCAGGTTTCAACATGGCCAGCCCAAGGGCATCGCACGGCCCTTCGACATCTGAAAAAACACCTATTCCTGAGCCTTATAATCGCAGCTCCCGGGCAGTCTGCAAACAGCTGCGTCAGATACACAGGGCATGTGGCCAGTGGCCTTGGGACTTTCTCCCTGGCCGGATACCCGAAACACTAGATAAACACATATTGGCACCGCTTGTTACGGCTGTTGAGTTTGCGTGCGATGATGAGCACCATGTTACCCTGTCAGAGCTGACTGACTGGCTAATGGGTCAGAAGGGGGACTGGGTTTTGACGTCAACGCAGTCTTCTAATGCCCTGGAATGGGTAACATATACCCATGATAAGAGAGCGAACAGGAGGAGATCTACTCATAATGGGATTAATGGCAGCAGACCGTCTTCTCGAACGAGGAAGAGGCAACACTCAAACGACGAAGTGATACTTCCGCGACCTCCACGCTCAGACACGCAGTCGCGCCAGAAGAAGCGCTTGCCCGAAATCAGATCGCCGACTGATGACATCGTGGCTCAGCCTGAGGCCCAATCTGAGGCCGTCCCTGAGTCTGAATTTGAGCCTGAGCTTGAGCCTGAACCCGAAGCTGAGCCTGAGCCGGAGCTGGACCATGACATGGAGATGGATGTGGATGACAGCAATCCCAACGGCGATACAGGGGAGGAAACAAACACAGAGACGAACAGGAACCTAAGCGGAAAAAACATACAAACACTTGAAGTGAGTTATCCGATCCTGTTCCCTCCAGAACAACTAACCATTATCCAGCAAGCCATAGTAGCTTCAGCTCGTCGTATTGAAGAAGCCCGCAACAATCTCAAAGAATACGAGGATCATCTACACATCGAAAGAGAAGACTTGAAAGTGATAGACGCCTTGCGATCGGAAGCATCAGAGTCTCACGAAGCTGCAATACAAGAGTGGAGAGACGCCGTCCTGCAAGCAGATACAAAACAGAACGAACTCCAACAGTTCCAAAATCTCGCTCAGTCCTTCTCACGCGATACACAAGCTGCCTTGGAACAACACAGCCAAAGCCTACGAGAACTAAGCGAACAAGCTATCGAAGTGGAGAAACAAGCTGAAGACGAACTCCGAGCACGACGACGGGAATTCTGCATCCTCGAGGATAAGAAAGATACAAAGGAGGGTATCATGAAGAAGATATCAGCGCGGATCAGGCGGTATCAAGATGATATTGATGCGGAGGAGGTGAAACATCAGAGATTACTTGCGGAGCATTACCTGGAGCTTTTGACCAATGATATCATACAGGGCATTTCTATCGCGGATATATCATATGCGAAGATTCTGGAGATCAAGTTGGAGCGTGATCAGAGAATTTGGTACGAACGGAGACAGATGAATTAGCATGGTAGCGATTCCTTTTGCATTACATTTTTTCTATAGAGGCGATTTCTTTTTGTCTTGCATTCATACGATATGGGGGTAGATAGACTGTCACATTTAATTCACTATTGATATCATATGAACCCCCTGCCTGGCCCCTTACAGACAGTGCTGGTATCATAAGCCAACCCCTTCAATCACGAAATGTTTATTAACAAGACTGCTCGGTATGTCCATGATGCTTGGGTCTTCCCACATGCTGATGATTGAACTTGTGGGGGAACAGAAACTGTTGGTCAATCACATTCGCTCCGTCCGGGTAGGTCGGTAGTCACAGAGAAACTGGCTTAAATAGAGGAGCTTAAGGTTGATCACAATTGATGCGAGTGAGCAGATCACAGTGACTAGCAATAAATGTGTGATAGGGTGCCATTGCTTCGGAATCGGATAGGCCAGCGAACCGGGCTGCGGCTAAACGGAACCCTGTAAGAAAGGGCTTACTGCATGAACTGGCAGGTTGGGTCGCGTGCTCAATGCCAGGATTCTTTGCAGACTTACATTTGCTGGATAATAGTGTGAAACTTTCTGTTTCTCTCTGACCCGTATTAACGGCAACCCGGCATGGAGCAGCTTCATTCAATCGTCTAACAGAGAAGGTAGCAAGAATCGAGTATCATGGATCGCAAATGTTATGTAATGATAACACCAAGAATTGACTTGCGTGGCAAAACAAAGCTCTGACGACAAACGGCCAGCCAACTCTCGAAAATGTCAAACATGATCTTCGCGACTATTGGAGTCTAATTCCTCAAATGGGAAGGTTGTTTATTTCCGTCAGCAAGAGGCTGCTCCAGACTCCATAACTTGTGTCGATCCCCCTAGATTGTGGGGTTAGTGGCGTCAACCCGAGATGTCGCTGTTGCTAGCGTATTGGTAACGAGAAATTTGTGGTGGCTGCTCACGGAGGAAAGGAGCCGGCTCCGCTGACTCGGTTTATTACAAACAGAGTAGGTAGTTAAATAGATTGTCAAGTCTCGAATGCCTGAAGCACGTGAAATGTACGATGAATATGCTGTCTTGAAGAACCCTTCTCCAGATTTTGACCCTGTCTGCTGCATGCCATCGCGGTACAGCGTCTGGACCATGCATCCGTTGCTTTTGCTGATGACATGGACTTGGTTCATGAGCCAGGTTCTTTGCAGCGATCTTTCCAACTTCCTGGCTGAGCTTCCCAGCTGCGCGGTACGTACATCAACCTGACCCCAACTCTGAGACGCTGACAGGTAATCCCAGGAGAGCTGTGTTCTGAATTTCGTCACAGCATCTTCTTACGGCACAAACGCAACATGTGTCTGCAACGATCCAAAGCTGAAAAGCGACTTACTACCATGCGTGGAGAGTCATTGCCTTCCCAGAGAAGGTCTCGGTAAGGAATGAATATTGATGTGTCATTTTTACGTACTAATTTGAGTTTTGCAGCCGCGATAAATTTGACCTCGGTGGCATGTGACTTCCCCATACGCGACAAGCACGAACAATTCAATATTCTCACTATCACGTTAATTGTCATTACTGGGATTACAGTTGGTCTTCGGTTCATTGAGAAGATACGATATGGGCCTGGACTCCAGCTCGACGATTATGTTATCACGGGCGCTTTTGTAAGTCATCTCTGGCCTTGCTGTCTTACAATTGCACGGCCTTATTTGTTTTGTTATTAGCTGGTCAATTTAGGCAACTCGATTGTCTGTTTGCATGGCCGTAAGTATTATCCCGTTTTCAACTCATGACTATAATACTTATAACACTGTCAGTCTCTGGGAATGGTCTGGGAAGAGATGCTTGGAGGTTTGGTCCAGAAACAATCACATCATATCTATGCGTTCGTATCCCAATGTCTCACTCCAGAACGGTCACTAACAGCCTAAGTTCCTCTACGCTGGCCAAACGCTTTACGCGACGGACGTTTTCGCAACTAAAATCTGCGTTCTTCTCTTCTACCTCCGCATATTCCCCGGAGTTATAATTCGAAGGTATCGTCTACCCAATAGCCTCAAGCACAAAACTCACTAACCTTACAAAGGCTGATATGGGGAACTGTTGGCACGGCAGTCCTGTGCATGGTTATCTTTGATCTGCTAGCACTCTTCCAATGCCAGCCAATCAGCTTCTATTGGAAGGGTTGGGACCAACTACATAAGGGCCATTGCATAGGGATCAACGGACTAGCATGGGCAATTGCTGCTGTTGGAATAATCCTAGACTTCTGGATGCTTGGGATCCCGATCTCTCAATTGATTCATCTGCAGATGAAATGGAAGAGGAAACTTGCAGTCGCCTCAATGTTCGGCGTGGGCACTTTGTAAGCAGAAGCCCCTCCCTTCTATACAAGATCCGGTCACTGACTCTTCTAGCGTGACGGTTGTCAGCATCCTCAGACTACGTTATCTAGTAGCATTTGGCAATTCTTCTAACCCTACATGTAAGCAATGCATCACTCTCCCTACCCTACATGTTCTAATCCAAGCCACAGGGGATAGCTACGATACATGCTACTGGTCAGTCATTGAACTGAACGTCGGTATTTGGTGCGCTTGCATGCCAAATCTTCGAGTCCTGATGCTCAAGACCTTTCCAAGACTGCAAAGCTCAGTCGACGCTACACCAAGAAGCAACCAATACAACTCATCTACAGCACGGAGGCCAATAAGAGTGCCGAGCAATACGCCAGGTCTAGCTGACAACGCCATGTATAGGGTGAGGTCTGAACAGGGGCGCAAGGTCGACGGCTCATCTAGCACAGCGGAATTAGTTGAGATGACAAGGTTCACCAACGAAACCAGAAGTAGTCTAGCATAGAGGCTAGCTTAGTTATATGAGCAGTTATGTTTTAATGTGTCGGATCGTCCGAGTAACCTAGGATATCCCAGGTTCAGCGGAAAACCCGAGATGCAGTCTTCGTTGTACTAATTGGACTTAGCAAAGTAGCGATAAGATCGATGTCTCACTGTTCTAGCGCTAACGCTTACCCCCGCGTTATTCGTCTGGGGTAATGCCCGTGCCGTCTATCCGTAGTCCTGCACTACCCCGCAAAACCAGAAGATCTCCTCTGGTGGTTCAGCCTCGTCTTGGAAATCCTGGAGTTGGGTGCAAGGTCTCGTGTGTCCAGCTCGGACATCCCGTCGTTGCACTGTCCCTTTCTGTCCCTTCTTACCTGCTCGGTACCGCAGGAGCCCTCAGCGTATCCGGTCGAGCCCTCGGCGGCGCCATAGGCATCACGATCTTCACATCTATCTATCACAACAAGATGGGCACCGCATTGCCAAAAGCTGTTGGCTCAGTTCTTGCGGCCGCGGGGCACTCGAGCCTACTTCCAGAAGTGCTGAGCGCCATCAGCAACGGAAACCCAACTGCCCTATCAAATGTATCTGGTCTGCCAGCTTCACTGATCCCCGAAGTCCTCGCAGCCAACGACCATGCCAATACGTACTCATGGAGGTTTGTATGGATCGCTATCTCGGTCGTAGTGGCGGCGAATGCAGTAGCTGCATGCTTCCTGAAGTCGGTTGCTAGTCAGATGAACAGCCATGTTGAGTCTGCTCTGGAGGAGTCAGATGTTCGCCGGAAGCAGATGCGCGATATTTAGGGCCATCAGTCTGGTGCCCATAGGCATACCTGGTGGGTGATAGCTGCAGTATTCACCTACGGACTTAGTGTTAAGCAGTAAATAATCTCTTGAGAATGTCATGGGACTTATCTACGTCCATTTCTTCCTGCTCTCGGTCTGTTGTTGATCTTCGTTTAACTAGACTCGGAACGTGTCTATGAATGCTAGAAGTAGTTGGTACAGTTTGAGCCCTGCAGTGACAGCGGAAGTGAATGAATATCCGATACACGGGATACGCAGGGAGTAACGCCATGAGCGGATCACCCAAGACATGGTTGTGAAACAGTAGGTTGGAGCGCCCTCAAGCAAACGCCACTTTCTATGTTCAAATCTATCAATGCCACCTCAGCTATCGTGCAGGGGTTGTTTATGTCATGGCTTCCCCACCGGTCTTCTGATACGCATAAAGTCCCCGGTCTGATAAAGCAGAGATGGTGTGATTGTCGCGATCTTCCAGAGACCACCAACTTTGACAAATTGATGCTGCATATGACTCCTCCCATCACTGGTCTCGTTGATCCTTGAAGCAGACGCATCTCTCGCGGCGTCACCATCGTCTTGTAGTCGCCCGTGACTCGCCAGCTGTTGCCACTCCACCACAATCTCATCGGTGGCGACCTTCTTGAAATATGGCTGGGCTAGGAGGTGTTGCGTCACCAATGGCTTAAGGCCAAGGTGCTCCTCTGAGAGCCAAAGTGTCGCGAACTCGGCAGCCTTGTAATGCTTTATCCCCCATGCTGGCACTATCAAGGTGTAGTCCACAGAAACCTCTGGTGCTAAAGCGGCAAGGAGGCGCTCTTCACTCTAGAATGAGAGGAAAAAGGAGTTAGGATTAATTGTTCTCTCATTTCTATAAGATGAAATAGAAACTATGCTCATACCTTTCTATCATAACCATCTGCCCAGATTCTTGCTGTCTGAACAACAGCAATGTAGTCCTGGAAGGTCAGATTATCTGGAATGTAAATTTCGAACGTCATTTTCAAGAAGCGGCTGTTCCGGTGATGTCTCGATATACTGGAGCTAGCAATGTCCTGTTGATGGATGATATCAGATGGTATTTATCCACTAACAAGAGTTCCCCCGCATCACTCACTTCTGGCCGGGACTCCCGATGTGGAGTCGGTAGATAACGGTCCCCGGAAAACCCGCTCGGGAAGTCCACTCGGGAAATCCAACCGGCAAGTGTCATCCGAATTAGTTCCCAATGAGCCCGTTAGTGTAATGTCGAAGCTAATCCATATATCATCTAAATCTTCGACTAGCAATCGAAGAACTTCAGTTTATCTCATTAATAATTAATCCCATTTTCGTACGAGATGACGCAGTCACCATATACCATCCGCACTGGTATTTATCCCGAGATCGACCCAGATCGACTCACGGGCTCGCTAACAGGCAAGAATGCCCTGATAACGGGTTCTGGCAGGGGTATCGGGCGGGAGATCGCCATCGCAATGGCGCGGGCTGGGGCTAATGTTTGCGTCACGGCACGAACAAGCAGCCAAGTCGAGGAAACAAAAGCCGAAATTGTGAGCTTAGACCTCAGCAGCAAGGTCGTAGGCATAGTGGCCGATGTGCTTAGACTGGAAGATCAAGAACGCCTCGTACGCGAATTCCGTGAACAGCTCGGCCCTGTCGACGTCTTGGTGTGCAATGCTGGCAGCAACATCTTCCAGCCCTTCCACTTGACGAATGCAACTGAGTGGTGGGACATCATGGAGCTGAACGTCCGGGCCCCCGTCGAACTCACCCGACTCGTCCTTCCAGAAATGCGCGAGAGGAACCGAGCCGCCATAATCTACACTTCGTCACGTGCTGCTAACGCAGACCTCCCCTGGACTACGGCATACAACTGTGCCAAGACATCTATTTCAAGATTCGCAGGAACTCTACAGGTCGAACTAGACCAGGTACAGAAGATCGAGAAGGGAGTGGACAACAACATAGCCGTCTTCAGCATTCATCCGGGTGAGATAGAGACCAATCTCCACGAGACGGCGTTTCCGGAAAAGACAAAACGAGAAGCGCCTTACGTCATTGAGCAGATGGATAAGATAGGCGCCAAAAGGCCTCACTTCGAGGCCGCTTTGCCAGCATGGACTTGTGTGTGGCTTAGCTCGGGGAAAGGTTCAGCTCTCCGAGGGAAGTTTGTGGATTGCACACGTGATGTCGGTGAACAGTCCAAGGAGGCTAATGAGGCTAACAGGGCAGTAAAGATATAATAACAAGTTAGATATTTTAATGCATTTTACTTGGAGCATTATCGCTACTATACTCAATACTATATATCTAAAAATTGCTTTTATAAACTTCCTATTATATCTATTAACTAATTATATTACTAAGATGTCTTGTTAAAATGTTTTAAGGAAGTTTACCAGTACTGTAGATAGAGGTATACTATAAGAACCTAAAAGACCAGTTGTCCGGCGCGATCTTGGTTCTAGATTAACTCTACTTTTTTATCTTTAGGATCTATTGTGGCGTTATAGGGAGCGCGGCCGAAGCTATGTGTTATCCTAGTACCTGTTAGCTCAAGCCGGGGGGGGGGGGCTAACTAAGTAAGCTTAGTTAGGCATAAAACCCTAAAACATATATAAAACCCTAAGATAGCCCTATATAGCTAGCTATTATAAATTTTAGTATTTTTATAGCTAAAATTAATAATCTAAAGATATTAATTAATAAATATACTATTAATTTTATTTTCTTATATTATATACTTAGCTATAAATCTTAAGGCTACTTAAGCTATTATTTCCTTATACTTATAGTATTAAAAGGGCTACTTTTATAATCTTACTTTACTTTTAAGCTTTTATTAAGCTAAGGAATATTTTCCTAGCTTTAAAAGGGTATCTATTACTTATATTATAAAGAAACTTAAAGCTATAAATAGCCTTAGTATTAAAAACTTTCTTAATAACTATAGAAAGTAGTTAAAGCTATTAATAAAAGTAAAAGAAAAAGCTATTATAGCCTTTATTATATAGATATAAAGATTAAGTCTACCTGCCTTTAAATATAAAGTTAAAGATACTATAAATATACTATATTACTATTAAGATCTTTATAATAGTTAAGGTTTTTAAATAAGTAAACTAATCTATATTAGGTT